TACTACTACTACGACTACTACTACTACTACGACGACGACTACTACGACTACTACGATTACTACTACTACTACTACTACTACTACTACTACTACTACTACTACTACTACTACTACTACTACTACTACTACTACTACTACTACTACTACTACTACTACTACTACTACTACTACTACTACTACTACTACTACTACTACTACTACTACTACTGCTACTACTACTACTGCTACTACTGTGGCCACGCTTGCCTGCGCGGGAACGCATTCCCCTAAGGGGTGCGCATCTCTCCAGATCTAACGTGAAATACCTTGACATTTCATTGTTCATTGAACGGCCAGCGCGGGCCACAGTAACTCCCATCGCGCCCCGCACGACGGGCCACACTAACACCCAACGGGCCACGCTAACACCCAACGGGCCACAGCAACAACCGATCGCGTGCCGGCACCCCCCCGGGTGCCAGCACCCCCCTCTGGTGCCAGAACCCCCCCCCGGTGCCGCACGGGGCGCTCGGTCCCCGAATCATGCCAAACGCACCGTCGTCGTGGCCATTGTCATGATGGAGACCATGCATATGGCCATGATGCAGATGGTCATCATCATCATCATCACCACCACCACCATCATCACCACAAGAATAGTAATAATGATCGTCATCATCACAATGCTCATCATCGCCACCATCATACTGATCATCATCATCATCATCATCATCATCATCATCATCATCATCATCATCATCATCATCATGATTATCAGCACCATCATCATAATCATCATCAGCAGCATCGGCATCGTCATTACCATCATTTTCATCGTCGTCGTCATCATCATCATCATCATCATCATCATCATCATCATCATCATCATCATCATCATCATCATCATCCTGAGCGCCCCAGATCGGCGGCACTGGCCCGGACGCCATGGCAATTAAAGACTCTTGGCCCTTCCAGAAGGTTCTGGGTCACTTTCGGCCCGTCCCGCCAGACCAACTTCATGTGCCTACCTCGAGGGTGGCCACGATGGTCCACGATGGTTTTCAAGATGGCCTCAGGTGGCCAAGATGATCCCAGATGACCCTCAAGACCAGCCCCAGACAGCAAAGACGGCCCCAAGATGGCCCCAAGAAGTCCAAAGATGGCCTCAACGCGGCTCAATTGCCCTCCAAGACGGCCCAAAAAGGCTTTAAAAAGGATACCCAGGACGAACTTGAGAGGCGAAAATCACTGATCCCCTGCATGTGTTTCAATGTGTTCCGAATTCTCGCCTTCTTGGTCTTCAGAGCGTCCATGACGGCCAGGGTGGACCAACACGGCCCACAGGGCCCCAAAAGGTCCCCAAGACGGCCCAGAGAGGCCCCAAAGACTCTCCCCGAAGGCGCCAGACGGTTCCAACAGCGCCCTGAGTCGGCCCAAGAAAACCAGGAGAGCCCAAGGAGGCTCCCCAGAATACCAAAAGGCCAGGAAGATCCCCAACTCAACGCAAAGATGGCCCAGAGGGTCCCTCCTCGATCTTCCCCCAATGGTTCCCCGAGAGCCCGGGTAACTCGCGGTCCTCCTCCTCCCCCTCCTCCTCCTCCTCCTTCTCCTCCTCCTCATCCTCCTCTCCCTCCTCCTCCTCCTCCTCCTCCTCCTCCTCCTCCTCCTCCACAATAACCACCCTCGCCCGACATTCCACGACACAAGCGGTTCCAGAAGGCAAGGGGCAGCGGTAATTCACCTGAGAGGCGGCTTCGATAATGCCAGAGGGTGCAGCAAGCAGCTGGTATGCTGACCACAGCAGACAGCCCCCAGCCGCGCCGCGGCCTGGGACTGGAGCCCATGGCTGCTGATTGCGCCAAATACCAACAGAAAGCCGCAGTGGGCCAAGGCCCCTGAGCCAAAACGGTCCTGGACGGAGGCGGCCGGAAGCGCAGAAATCCGCACCCCCCTGTAACAGAGGCGCCCAAGCCGCGGGGTATGCTGCTGGACCACCTTCTTGTGCTGTGTTGTGCGTTACCCTGCGTTGCATGTTGTTTTGCTCTGTGTATATATAGATATGTATACTTGTATTCATACGGTTTATGAATGTAAATGGTTTCTCTCTAGTTGTATATATATATATATAAATAAATACAGTTCAGAAAATGAGTTCAACAAAGCATAAACTGTTGGCGCTCCGCGCGGGCGCCGGAGGCTCTGTCCAGGGGGGCCCAGCGCGGATCCAAGAACTCTGCGCGGAGCGCCCAAAGCTTGTGTTAATACGGAGCTTCTTTTTTGTTATTATTCTTCTTATTATTATTATTATTATTCCTCGATGGGGGGCGGAGGTCGCGCTCAGAGCATGCAAGCCCTCGGCTGCACGAGGTGCCGAAGGCGCGCACAGAGGAGCGGATGCATCCCTGGAGGAGCGGAGCGCGAGGTCGGAAGACTCCACGGCCCACGCCGACCGAAAAAAAACAGGGGAGGGGGAGGAGGAGGAGGAGGACGAGGAGGAGGAGGAGGAGGAGGAGGAAGAGGAGGAGGAGAAGGCGGTGGAGGAGGAGGAGGAGGAGGAGGAGGAGGAGAAGAAGGAGGAGGCGGAGGAGGAGGAGGAGGGGGGGCCCTCAAAGGTCCTGGCCGCGCTGGGTGGCCCCAGGATCCCCACTGGACGCCGCCGCACGGCCAGGAGAGGTCCAAGAGGTCTCGAGAACGGCCCCAGGAGGCTCTTGCAGAGAGCTTCAGGAGCCCAAGGCGGCCGACGATGGGGCCCCAGGATTCCTCCAAGAGGGCCCAGGAAGGCCCAAAGACCAGCCCCCAGACGGCTGAACCGCCATGAGAGCCACACGGTTCTCAATGGTTCCTGCCTGTCCCACCTCCCAAGATGTCCAGCGATCGCTTCAAGACGGCTCCCAGAGCACCAGAGGCTGCCCAAAACAGTCCCAAGGTGGCACCAAAAGGCCCCCAACATGCTGTTTAAATCGCTCAGGATGCTCAACCAGGCTCAAAGGTAGCCCCAAGACGCCCTCAGGATAAGTTTCATAAAACAGACCTGGGCCAATTGCTACTGAAAACGCTGGAGGGGCGAACGTGTTCCAAAATCGATGCCGACTTCCCGACAAGTTGGTTCAGAAACACTGGCCCAGCTTTTCGGGAGGAGGCTTCTAAATATGATGCCCGACTGTGTTGCCACAGGATGGCTCAACCTAAGGGGTCGGCGGCAAAGGGCGCAGCCCTTCATGTACTCACGCGAGAGAGAGAGAGGGCAAGTGCGTTTAAAACTGCAGTGAATGCCTTGTGGGCGCGCATACAAGATGCATCGAACAAGTCGTACAGTGTCCTTCACTGCGTGGCTGAACCGCGGAGCTTCCACGGCGCTGATAGCCGTTCTTGCCGTCGTCACCGGCTGAAGGGGAAAGCGGACTGCTGCACACTGGCTGCGCAAAACATAATGAATCGGCTGCGTTGGTTTGCCCCTTTGCCTCGGCAAGGCAGCCCAAGCGCCCCCGTAACTCGAACCCATCTCCGCAACTGCGGGCCTTTTGAAGGCATAGATGCGTGCGCGCTTAAATTTGGAGATGCGTGGGCTGTTGTGCGAGATACGCGCGCCTCACCGACGTTTCATCGACAGACGCTGGGCAGGTCCTTCAATCACTGCAGCGCAGCACGATTAGATCGTGCTTCTCGCATGCACCCAGATGCATCCGAGGAGAAAGCGAAAGCATCACGCAGAGGTGCAAGCCCAGGCAGCCTTTCTCGCACGCCGAGATCCCCGCGCTGCAGAAGATCACGTCCTGCGAGGGGCGAACCTGCGAACACCTCATAGCCCTCTCCGCTGTCATTCCTCCCACATTGACAATGCGCCTCCACACAAGGCCCCCCTACTCATCGTCGTCCTCCTCCTCCTCCTTCACCTCCTCCTCCTCATCATCATCCTCCTCCTCCGACTCCGACTCCGACTCATTACCCCAACTGACCATGCAATTCCTCCTCCTCCTCCTCCCGCTCCTCCTCCTCCAGCTCCTCCTCCTCCTCCTCCTCCTCTTCCTCCTCCTCCTCCTCCTCCTCCTCCTCCTCCTCCTCCTCCACGCAGGCACCCATCTCGTCTTCCACCCACCTGCCCCTCCTCCTCCTTCTCCTCCTCCTCCTCCTCCTCTGCTTCCTCCTCCACAATCGTACCCTCTGCTCTTATTACTCATTTTCCATGGCATCCTACTCGGTGCCCTCCTCCCACCCCACCACACACGCTCCCTGTTCCTCTTCATCCGCTTGCTCTTCCTCGTCGTTGTCTTCCTGATCCTCCTCTCCATCCTTATATTATCCGTCCGTCTCCTTATCATACATCAAAGGTTTCCTCCTCTTCATTATTCCCAGGAGCTCACATGCCCTCTCCTCCTCCTCTTCCTCATCTCTCACCAGCTCCTCCAGAAGCTCTCTGCGCTGTACCTGTCGTAGCCATGTTGGCTTAGGATGTCGGACGCCCGCGACAGTGAAACGAATAGCGCTGACCCACTGCTTGCTTCCAATGCCTTCCCTGTAAAACCCACTGCGCAGGTACTTTCCGTTCGACTGCCCATACCGAGCTGCGGGCTGGTGTCGGGTAAGTCGCCACTGCTCGCGCCCTGCTCTTCGGAGTCATCCACTGCCTTGTCCAGCCAGCCATGGGGTACAGGCAGCGGCGTGCGACGGCTGAACAGTGCTGCTACACGTGGTGCAAGCACAAGGCTACGGACGCACCCTGGATCAACCGCCGGGCTGTGCGCACTATGGGTTGCTTAAAGTTTCAGCCTTCAAGTCCAAAGCTCATATCAAGTCCCCGAGTACTCGAGCACCGACGCAGCAGTCGGCCCGAGAGTTGGCTCTTTCCTGACAGCTGGAGGCACTACCGAAGAAGATGCAGCAGCTCCCGGGAACTCAGGATGAACAGCCGGTTGCGCCTCCTCCACCGTGGGCCCAGACCAGAATACCCAGTCTCGCCGTAACCGTATCTATCAGGTCGGATGCATTCTCAAGGCGATGGGCAATCACGATGAGTAAATATCGTGACAAGTAGTCGGCCGAAAACGTTCGGCTCGAATCAGAGATCCAGTCGGAGAAGCCTCTTGAAGCGAACGTATCAATTCTCATCCGAGAGCTGCAGCAAGCTCGTCACCAGCAAGGGGGCGAGTGTCTGCAAGTCGGAGGCAGGAATTCAGCGGTCCGTGCGGCGCACCTGGCAGTTGAGAAAGCCCCTTAGGATGATAAGGAGCTGACAAGACGATTGAGGCATTGGAGGAAAGGATGCGCAACGTGGTCCCCGTCACGACGTCAGTCCAGTCGGCAGCCAGCAATCCACCCTCACGGCGTTCCTCCCTGGGCTCGAGACCACTCGTCGCAGTTCGAGGCAGTGGTCAAGTCCCTGAGTTGTGGTGAACGCTTCACGGCCGACATCGCAGCGATGGCGGCGATGGTTTAGAAGCTCCGGGCAGTCCCAGCACCAGCTGTCGCGCCGCCCTTCGCAGGCAGATGCTTCGGCTGCAGCGCCACAGACTGTGGAGGCAGGCGATACGGTGGCAGTCGACGGAGATGCTCGAAAGCATATGGATGGGCTGAATGCTGCTACGGTACGAGAGCACCTACAGGCCTGTGGAGTCCAAGTGCCCGAAGGGTCAGACGATGATGAGGAACTTCACAAACTACGAGACATGTTTAAACTATATATTGCTTCAGTCGCCAGCGCTTCACGGAAACTCAAGCCCAATGGTACCGCAGCAGAGGCGCAATCTGAGGACAGGAGCACTTGGAACTACAATTCAATACCAACCACGATGAATCCTTCAAGCATGAACGACCCTATCCTGACGGGCCGGGATACTTCCAATCTGGTCTCACATTGTATCCTCGCCTCTACTGGTGGCATCTGTGCTCGCAGCGGGTCGGACGAGTGGGGTGGGTCCAGTGTCAAAGGCGAATTCATGCAGGCGGATGCTGGTGGCCCCTGCGGTGACAGCTTCGCCGTGCAGGTCGAGCCACGAGACGCAGCACGAGTGCGGCCTTCCCGCTGCCGCGCAGCTCCATTCACGCGAACCTCCTCGCCCCCGGGTCCGGCAACGGCGTGCAGGGCCCTGGAGCAGAGGATACGCGCCATGCGGGAAGCGCCGCGGCGCACTCCAGGCGCAGCGTCGCCACGTGCAGCATCAGTTACTCTGAGCCTGTGGTGCCACTGCTCACCATAGGCTCAGTGTCGCCACGCTTACCTGTCCGCAGTGCGCGCCGAGCTTCTATTATTTTTAAAATTCTGGAGCACGACCCGCTTGAGGATCTAGATCTAGACTTGCATGAAGATGAGACCCAAGAAAAGGCCCCTCAGGGACGCGAGGTTGTCACCATACGTTCCAGCTCGCTAGGACCTCTCTGCGATTGTTTAGAGCAAGCCAGCTGCTATGATGCCCCAACGCAGGAGCACCATGTCGCCAGCGGGGTGCTAGGCAAGGGGCAGAATCGAGAGCTCGAATGCTGGCTGGAAAGGAGTTTGGGCCAGCGCCATTTCCAACGCTGACGGGGGCCCTGGAACCACGGAAGGCATCGCTGTCTCAGCACGCTCCCACCTCAGGATGGCTGCCCCCCCCGCATGGAGTCCCCCTCTCTGGCTCCTGGTCGCACTGTGGCAGGGCACGTCAGGTCTTTCTTTGCCAGAGAAGTGGCCCTCACCAGTGCGCACTGCAAGGATGGAGAAGGGCTCGGTCCCACCGACTCTTCCCTCCTTTGGCAGCTTGTCAAGGTTCTGCGCGCACTGAATAGGAAGCAGCTGCCCTGGATCATAGGAGCCGATTGGGATACGGGCCGCCAGACCCTTGACCAGCCAAATGCGTTGGCAAGCGTCAGCGGGGCGGCGTCAGTTCGCAGGCCGCCGCATACCGAATAGACCCAGACAAACAAACACAAACACTCACACACATGTATTACTTTCTGGTCAACCGCTCGCTGGCCCCGAGTGTGCATCCCGACGCGACCGTTGACGAGACTGCCTCCACCTCGCCTCACCTCGCTCGTGAGTCATCCGTGTGGGCCCGGGTGGCCAAGAGCCCCATACGACTCCAGAATGCTCCAGGCCGGCACGCGTTCCTTGGCAAGCCGTTCCGATTGCAGTAGCAAAGGTCCAGCTCATCGAGCAGCTGACTGGCTTCTGAAATCTGGCCAGCGAGGGGTGGGCGTGAGCTCGCGATCAGGTGGGATCGCGTCGAGCCCGCCTGCAAGGCCAAAGACACTCGCCTAGTCCCCCCCCGAGAGAAGGACTTGCAGGGATCCTAGCACCAGAGCCTGGGCCACAGCTCTAGGCTGGGCCGAGCACCTGGCCGAGATGAGGCAGTGCCCTGCAGCCGAGGTTGAGAATTTCTTACAGTAATGCAGCGCGCTCTTGCGAACTGGCACCTGCCCCGTACACCAAGCCCCTCGGTTCGTTTCACGAGCTCACGGATTGCATGGCCAGGGCAAGACTGTTACAAGACATTGGCGAAGCTTGACGCCGACACTCAGGTGTTCTTTTCCGGTACAGCCAGCCCGTCTCATGAGGATGCGAGGTAAGGATGCAAGGGCCTGGAAGGGCCATGCTAACGTTTCGCGAACGAGGTTGGCCAGCAAAAGTCGCCTACGGATGGGCCAACGGGGGAAGGATGCAGGAGGTAGCCTTGGAAAACTGCTCACCCTTACTATTCTCGGGGATGGACAAAACCCCCTTTAGTAAAACATGGTTTAGTGAAAACGACCTCGGGCCCAAATTTGGCGGGTGCAAGCCTGGAAAATGACGGCCGCGGCGCCCTCTCGACAACCAAAAACGGACAATTCACTAATCGACGTGTCAGGGTGGGGGTTTTGTCCACCCCCGATATTCGGGTTGACTGCAGCTTCGCCGCCCTGGCACGCCCCGACGCTGCGGACCGACCGGCCCCATGGGCTTCCTCCCACGGCGCAGGGCGCCGAGGAAGAGGCCGAGAACGAAGCCTGCGATGCCCGGACCCGGTGGGCCCGTGAACGCGTGTGGCCCAGAAGGGGAGGCACGGGGGCATACCGTAGTGCCACGTGCCCTCCTCGGAGGCGAAGCGGGCCCGACCCGAATCTCTATAGTGCCAAGCGTCGTGCAGCACAGCGCTCCCGAGCGGTATGGCCAGCAAGCGCCCGCCACGGAGCTTGCCCTGCAAGAGCTCTCGGCGCGCGCGCGTCGCCCCTGAGGGGGGGGTGGGGCGACGCAGACGTAGTATTGGTGGTAAGTCGGGCATGTCCCTCTGCAGGGGGAGCTTGGAGGAAAAAAAAAGAACTAGTCAAACCATACCCCAGGATGACAAAAACAAATGCTCAAAACATCGTCCCCATTTGTGAGTGTCCCTCCTGTAGAAGGGGGACAGGCCCGACTCAACATCAGTGTCCTGGGGCGACGCCGACAGAACGCCCATCAGGTCTCGCGGTCAGAGCGGCGCAGAAGGTGCTGGAAGCACGCGAAGACGCCACAGCCGTGCGACCTTGCGAACGAATGCTTGGAAGCCCGCGCCTGCTGCCCCCCCCCCCCTCTCGGGAGCGGCCAAGAGGGGGGTGTCCAAGAGGGGGGGGTGCAAATCATGACCGGCGGCATGTGCGCGGCCCAGCGGGGGGGCCAGGGACGTAATGAAATAAGAAGAGGCGCCATGAAATCTGGGAAAACATCATGGCCCCCGCCATGATATCCCCCCCCCCTAGTCATCACCCCCCTCTTTTCCGTCCCCCCCCCCTCGGCCGGCGGACCCCGAGTCCAGGGACCCCCTCCCTCCCAGAACCCCGGGCCGAGTCGACGTTGCCGTCTGTCCTCTGTCCGCGCGCCCAGCCGCAGGACCCACGGCCCTCGGCCCATGGCCCTGCGGCACTGGAGCCATTGCCAGACGGGGTGTTCGATCCCCTCGCGCAGCATCTCCTGCTTGGTGGGTGTATCTGGGCAAGGCCTCGCCAGGAAGCTTGACATGAGATGGTCAGGCTGCCCAGGCCACAAAGAGGAACGAGACGAATCGCGAGTTCAAAGTGTGTTTGCAGAGTCTGGGGTAAGATAAGGAAGGACCTTGCTTGCGCCTGGCAAGAGGAGCACAAGAGAGAGTTGGGAACCACGAAGAAACACAGCTCTTCCGACAGCGCTTTCTCTTGCAATCTGGCTGCCGGCTGCGCAGCCTTGGTAGGAGACGTGTCCATGTCTGTCCTGCTTGAGATGGTCAAGTGCTTTGGCATGATTCACCCAGCTCACATGGTGGCTGAAGCTCGTGCAGTGCAGTACCCTGCCCGACTAGCATGGGTGCTGGTAGATTGTGCAGACAACCACTGCGCCTTCGTGCATTCGGCTACCCTAGTGACCCGTGTGAGTGGTACCAAGGTGTCCTCGCAGGCTGTAGTCATGCGAAGGACATGCTGTGCCTTCTAATATCGAGAGCCCTTCGAAGGCTTAACTCGATCGCTCCGAAGGTGACTCCCAAGGCTTTGGTCGATGACATACCGTTGCCGTTCATCTTGGAGTCCAAGCAGGAAATCGCTATGTTGTGCAAGGGCCGCCTGATTTTCCAGGTACGACGTCAAAGGAGTAGGACTCTGCACTAGGCCTAAGAAGACGGATGTGGTGGCCGCGAATCGCCAGAGCGAGCGAAATGTTCAGGCTTCTGCCACACATCTTGGGCTCCCGTCTCGTAGTTGGATGCGAGATCTCAGACATGAGTGGGCGGCTGGAACAGGTAAACGACACCAGGACAACACACGTGACCCTGCTCTCGCTCGGCGACGACGTAGGCTCCTGGCGCTGGGGCGCCACATGCAGACACAATTCAATGGTGAGGGCCCCTGGGCGCACTTCCAGCAACTGGGCACGGCATCAGCTTGTCCGGTATCACTGACGCTGGCCTTCGCTAACTTCGACCGTTTGCCTCGGGCCTGGCCGGTGACAAGAAGCATGGCGGAATCACTGCGCACGCTGTCGCCAATGAGGGCCCTCTCCACGATCTGGTGAATGACTTATCCTTGGGATTGCGGCTGAATCTGCTGGGTGGGCTGGGGGTTAAACACATCAGCTCGGGTTGGGCCCAGAGCGCCTGGACGGCACGCGACGGCATCGTGAGCGACCGTCCTGCCTGGCAGCAAGCACCCGTGCCGATGCCAGCCTGCGGGCTCTCACCCGCGCGGGCCTCCGAGCTCCCGTGATGCTTTCGCGCCACTCCGACCAGCCATAACTGGGGGAGCTGTGGCCCTTACCCCCGTGGGGGAACCCATCGCATCGACGATCTCTCGAGAGGGGTGTCGAAATCGACGGGCCCACCCAGGGGGGTAAGGACCACAGCTCCCCCAGTTGTGGCTGGCCGTGGCCGTGGCCGTGGCCGTGGCCGCGGCCGTGGCCGTGGCCGTGGCCGTGACCGTGGCCGTGGCCGTGGCCGTGGCCGTGGCCGTGGCCGTGGCCGCGGCCGTGCCCGTGGCCGTGGCCGTGGCCGTGGCCGTGCCCGTGGCCGTGGCCGTGGCCGTGGCCGTGGCCGTGGCCGTGCGTGGCCGTGGCCGTGGCCTTGGCCGTGGCCGTGGCCGCGGCCAGGCCACTGCCCCGTGCCCCTGCGCGGTGAGATCGGCTAAGCCCGCGCCGCGAAACGCCGGCAGGCTCGTGCTCCGCGGGCGGCGCCGGCGGGCTGGGAGCACGGCGGCCACCCCAAGCTGATTGAGAGCGGGCCCGGGGAGCGGCCTGCCCCAACAGCGGCGGAGGCCCACGGGGGGGCGGCCGCGCGAGGAGACGCGCCTCGCGGGAGCCATTAAAGGGGCCCTGGGACACACAAATAAATGCACACAAATAAAAGGATCCCCCATATTTCTCCATATTTTCTGGGTTTCTGGCTTCCCCCACACTGCCCATATTTTCCCATATTTTCTGTGGAATCGACGATTAATTGTCTCTGTGTGTTTCTTTTCCTCCTGAGCCATGTTCTGTTCGAGAGAAGTTCGTGGACGGTCAGCAGGGGCAAGCTGGAGTCCAACAGATCCGCTGCGTGGGCCGCACGAGGGCGTCCACAACAGGCATCCGAAGAGGAGGATCAGACAGACACGTCACCATGATGACAATACCTGTGCGAGGATCCAGTTATCCAGCGCCCCTCCAGGCGGCGGCATCCCAGGACCGAGGCCGGGTATCCACGGGGGCGATCTGCATCAGCAAGCGTTGCGCAGGACCGAGGAGGCGGGACATCTGCTGCATCGTGGACAACAGCTGCGTGGAGGAGAGGGCCCTCCGCTCGGCTGGGGAGCGCTGGAAGCCGCGCTAGCACCTCGACCTGTAAAGCGAGGCCCGCAAGCTCCGCGGCTCTCGCGACACAAAGGTGGTGAAGGTCTTCAGCCACATCACGGCCCACGATGTCTTGGGCACCCCTCCCAGAAGATCCGCCTTGGGGAGGTTGGGGGGGGCACCGGCGAGCGCGTCCTGGAGTGCGCCACTTGCGCTAGGGTGGGGGCGAATCACTTCCGCACGAGAGCAAAACATCCACTCCCACAAGAAGCACCCCGATAAGCGAAGCCATTTAGCAAACGTACCCAGGAAAGAACCGAACAAGGCAGGGCTGCTCAGTAAACTCACAGGCCCGTTGAGCAAACGCCAAGTATCGGGGTCGGGGCTGTTGTTCCTTCCTCGGCCTTACGCCGCGCGCGGCGCCAGCGAAAGCTGGACGCTGGAACCTGCCCAGACTCCGCCGAGGCCTGGCGCCAGGCCACAGCAGGGCTGCCAGAGAGGCGACCGGCCCGCGAGGAGGCCCCGAGGTGAGAGGCGGCGGCTCGCGCCGGAGGTGTGCTGCGGGCGGCTCGCGCCAGAGCAGGGTGACGCGCGGCTCGCGCGTGGGCCGTGAGACGGGCGGCTCGCGCGGGAGCCGTGTGACGGGCGGCACGCGCCAGGGCCGCGTGGCGGGTGGCAGGGTGCCGCAACGCGCAGCCAGCGCAGCGTGACACCGGATGGGCTGGCACGTCTTTTCCTAGTCCGTGGCTCGCTGAGCTTTGCAGAGTCGAACCATCCACCTTCGCCTCCTCCTTTTCCTCCTCCTCCTCCTCCATTTCCTCCTCCTCCTCCTCCTCCTCCTCCTCCTCCTCCTCATCATCATCATCATCATCATCATCATCATCATCATCATCCTCATCTTTCTCCACATCGAAGTCCTCAGCCTCCTCGGCTTCATACTCTTCTTCCACCTTTTCCTTCTGCTCTGTTCCATTATTTCCCACTCTGCCCCTCATCCCTGTCCTCCTCAACCCCCTTACCCTTCTCACTATCGTATCACATTGCTCCGCCTTCTCCTTCTACTCCTCCTCCTCCTCCTACTCCTCTTCCTCCTCCTCCTCCTCCTCCTCCTCCTCCTCCTCAATACCACCACCACCACCATCATCACCACCACCACCACCATCACTGCCGCCATTACGGTCAGCATCAACAGTGTCAGCATCACCCGTATCATCATCCTTCTGCTCCTCCTCCTCCTCCTCATCATCATCATCCTCCTCCGCTTCCTCCTCATCCTCCTCCTCCTCCTTCCTCCTCCTCTTCCTCCTCATCATCTTCCTCCTCCTCCTCCTCGGCCTCCCTCTCCTCCCCCCCGCGGCGTCCAGCTTGGAGCCCGACAGCAGCCTCTCCTCGAAGAGCTCAAGCGCCCTGGACCACTCCTGCGCCTTCTCGCACGCGCTGACCGCGGCGCCTCAGCCCGGCGACACTTGGGGGCTACACATGGGAGGTACACATGGGGGCTGAACATGGAGGCGATACTTGGGGGCTAGAATTGAGGGGTGCACATGGGGGCTACACTTGGGGGCTATACACGGGGGCTGAAATTGGAGGCCACACATGTGGGCGGCTCGCCCGCGCCGCCGCCCCCTCAGTATTATCCGCAGGTGCGGGTTGCTGCCTGTTCCTTATTCTCATTCACGTCTTCCTCCTCGTCGTCGTGGTCCTCATCGCCCTCGTCCGTACCCTGAAAGACCATCATTCCGACTCCTAGTCACCGCCTCCATCATCCTCGTCGGCGTCTCCGTCGTGGTCGTCGCCATCCCCCTCCTCCTCCTCCTCCTCGACCTCCTCCTCCTCCTCTTCGTCACTGTGGACATCCTCTTCTTCCTCCTCCTTCTCATCCTCCTCGTCCTCCTCCGCCTCCTCCTCCGCCTTCTCCTCCTCTTCGTCCTCCTTCTCATCGTTGTTTTCGACGTCCTCGTCGTCGTCCTCCTCCTCCTCCTCCTCCTTCTCCTCCTCCTCCTCCTCATCATCATCCTCCTCCTCCACCTCCGCCTCCTGATCGTCGTTCTCGCCGTCGGCCGTGGCC